TTTGCTGTCATTTTTGATGAAGTGTGAAAAACATTTGTCTAACCTAACTTTGTAGACAGGCTCAGGTCGGAGAGTGGTAAAGTTCTTCTATTGGCTGTTTAACTCTACCTAGAGTTCCTTCAGATAAAACCACTGACTGAGTCTAATTTATATCTGGCAAAAAATAAATTAAAAAATAAAATATATTGTGTATAGTGTTTAGAGTTATTTCATAATAAAATTCATTTTCTTTTTTTTAATCTGCCCAGGCTCCAGCTGTCTCATGTCGCCTTACCTCCTTCCCTCATCATCATCTTCCACGTCTCCATGTGTCCGTCTATGATGCTGTGTCTCCTGCTCACTCTGCTGCTGCTGCTGTCACCAGCCGTCCATGGCCAAGGTAAGTTGACTTTCAATTCATATGGATGTGACGACTTAACCTGAAACAGTCGATGGTGCTACTTATTTATCCCCATTCATTTCCTGTCCCTCAGGCCTACACACATACATCCACAACATTCTCAAAAAGCCTTACTGAATTATCAGGGTCAAAAATGCAGAGAAACACTGAAAACATGTTCATGTCTGCGCTTCTTTGTCTTCACTGCTTCCTTTCTCTGCCTCCCCCCATTCAACTTCCTCTGCATTTTTCTATTACCCCTCTGCACAGTACATACAGAACCCCAAAAACAGTATTCATCCTGTGACGTTCCTCTGACACGACCCATGACCTCCTGACCTCCAGATTGTTGTCCCGTTCCCGTGTCAGTTACAGACTGGAGGACAGGGCAGGCTTTGATGGATGAACAGGCAGCTGGAGGGAGGGGTGCATGGAGGGGACAAGGATGGAGACATGAAAGACACTGCTTGTTGGGAAATCCCTGCTGGAAATTATGTAGATGGAGTTGAAACAAGACATGGATTTGAGTTTTGGGAGAGAAGGAAGTGAGAGGTTCTGTTTCTTTGATCTCTGCTAAACCCGGGCTCCTCATTTTTTCCGTTTTTATTTTAACCAGAACTGTGACTTGACAACATGTCGACGAGGGCTGTGTCACGACTGATTTCTAAATTTAGTCTGATTCTGATTCTTACGATTAGCTAAAATATAATCATTTCTCAATCATTTTAAAGAATGCCTGCACAGACAGACAGTCTTCATCTGTATTTTGTGAACCGGTTTGACAAAGAATATATCTGTCCTCTCTGTTCATTTTGTCAATATCTAGGTCGTCTGAAGCTGACAGTTCTGTCCGAGGACAGACTGCAGATGAAATGGAAGGAGGCTGATGGACCAGTCCAGGGCTACAAGGTCAGAGTCAAGCCCATATCAGGTGAGACATTTCTGGCAGGCAGAAATGGAAAAAAAAGGAAATAGAGATACTTCTGTAGAGAAGACCACAGAGAAATAATCTTTTTAGAGATACTTCTGTATAGAAGACCACAGAGAAATAATCTTTTTAGGCTCACAGAGAGTCAGGAACTGCTCGTCAGCTTCTGGACAGGAAGAGTCTATAAGACTTTTACGAATCGATGCCCTTAAATAAATTCAAATGAACCAATGAAATAACGCGTCAGAACTTATAGATAAAGGCAGCAATTGTTGTTTGTCCTACTAATGTGATATTAATCCAGTTAAGTGACCTCAGTTTCTGTGGTCTCTGTGGTGACCTAGAGACAGTTGATAACAGACCGTCTTATTTTCCCCTTATTCATTGAGGATGCAAAGAATTGTGCAACTTTTTTTGGCTCATATTAGCTTAACCACAAGCTGTTCTGTAAATTGCAATTATGCTTTAGGTACTGCAGCTAACTTTTAGCCTTTCCGTGGCTGAAAAACTAGCTTTGTGTTTTCTTTCCTAGCCTTTGTAACTCCTACTGAGCTAACTTTTAGGTAGACTGAGAGATTTTTGCTTTAAGCGTAGTTATAACTATGAAGTAGTTATTAGTTGTTAGTTGTAGCTGATAGCAATTAGCTACAACTAAGATAATGTTTGGTTTAGGTATTGCTAATTGTGGCTGTTTTGGCCAATTATAAGTTCATCCAGCTTTTATTTATATCTGATTTTGTGTCTAATTTCTGTCAAACATTATTTGCTTTTGTATCTTTTAAGTTAAGTTACTAGAACAGGGTGTCAAACATACAGCCCACGGGCTGTACTGTAGTAACTGTACTGGTCTGGCCCACGAACCAAAATGAGTCTTGGTCTAGAAAGTAGCATTTGTCATTGCATTTTTGTATTAGTGTACAAAATGTATTTTCTTCTACTTTGAAACCCTTGGTCTAGAAAGTAGCATTTTTCATTGCATTTTTGTATTAGTGTACAAAATGTATTTTCTTCTACTATCTCATTTCAAAGGAACTTTCATGCGGGTTTGTTTACATGTAGCTACTGAACGGAATCTTAGCTAATTTGACTCCAGTCAGAAATGTCTTCTTTCAGTTCTTGGGCCAAAGAATTGGGTCATGATGGTTTTTGTTCACTCTCAAAACATTTGAACATCAATCGTCAAGTTTAAGACTCCTGAACAAAACGTGCCAGCGAGAATACATGACGTTTCTTTTTGTTTTGTGCAAACACTGCTGTAAGTGGAATGTGGTTCTGGTTTGAGTTTGTTTCTGACATAAATGCCTCATTTAATTCAGCAAAGCTGCAACAACTTCAGACGTTCAACAGCAGCCTCTGGTTTTCAAGGATGTTTTACAATAAATTTAAGACGTTGGAAACCTCAACATTGATTTAACATGAACTAATCCTGACTTTCCTTTTGTGTATGAACGTATGATAGATAAATAGAAATACAGTGTTGCAGCAGGTGGTTTTCAGCTGATGACAAAAGGTACTGACATGCACACCTGGAAAGTGTTTCTTTCTGTCATTCCCTTATCAACTGTTATAAACGGCTGTAGGTCCAGGCAAGTCGAAGTCAAAGATGAAGGTGTTGGCGGAGGATTTTTAAAGACGTTGACGTGTTCAGAAAGCAGAATGTTGAGAAGAAGGATGAGATGTTGATCAGATTGAAGGGCAAAGGAAGATAAAAATGTTATTATTTGCCTAGAACAGAAGTATAGGTATCAAATAAACTCTGTCTGTTGACTGTAAAATGAACTTTTTACAAGTTAATTTTAAAAGTTAATTGAATTATTAACATTTGTTAAACAGTTAAATTTTAGCTATAATTTTCAGGTTCAACTCTTTCCAACCTTCACCAATTTCTGCTTTTTTCCTGGGCTAATCATTAGCTTCAATTTGCTCTTTGGGGCTAACTATTAGCTATCACTGTGGCTTGGAATAACTTTATTTCAGTTTTGTATGTTGGTTCAACTGTTTTGGCTTTCTTTTAATTTTCTTATTTAAAAAAACTGAACTGCTTGAACGCAGGACCTTCTGCATGTTAGGCCGATGTGTAATCATGATAACCGTTACACTATGGAACCATTTTATTTTGTGAACTTAACTTAAATTTCTTTTGCTAGGTTGGGGTAATTGTTTGTCTCAGTTTTATTTTTGTCTCTTATTAATGTAAGTCCCGCTTTTGTTTTCCTAACTCTGACCTCCATTCATCTGTGATGTCACTCCTGTCCCGTTGTCATCTTCAATGATAAAAAAAAAACTTCTTCTATGATTTACAGAGGTTCCACAGCCAGAGCTGATGCTAACAACCACACGTGGCAGGGCTACAGTCGCAGGCCTGGACTCCAGTCAGGAATACGCTCTTCAAGTCCTAGTGCTCAACGGCACCACTGAGAAACTTCTAGCAAAGAGGAGATTTACAAGTAAGAATTGGTTATGGCAGATGTGCTTGTCTCCTGCAGCATTGTTTTGTTTTTAGGGCTATAATAATAAGCGTGTTAATCGTGTAAATCAGTTGGTGAAATGAATCGGATCGTGGTTTTGAATGACGCACACATCCACTTCCATTGCTGAAACACATGATGTTACTGTTGCAGGGCAGTAAGAGGGTAACTGTGGCTGACAAGAAGCCAAACACATTTGTCAAATGTGACTCCCTGTTATAGCTATTTTAAAATCTACAATCACAATCGATCGTGATTAGTCTACAGTTCCCCCGTGATTGATCAGATAACAAGTTTGGATCATTTGACAGCCCTTGTCTTCTCTGTCATGCAACAGTAATGTGATGGACAACACTGACCAGAGGTTTAAAATAACGAAACCTGCATGCCTGCTGTTCCCTCTGTGAACGCTGTGACTTTGGCAACACCTTAAAGTCAATTCATAGGAAGCAGTGCATTTTTGACATTCTCTCTCCTTTTTTAACCCCTCACACACACACACACACAGAGAGAGAGAGAGAGAGAGAGAGCACATTTGAACCTTAACTTTTTTAATATGTGGCAACCAATGCAAGTCTTCAGCAGTATCTTGGTTGACTTTGGATGATGTAAAGGAAATGCAATGCAATTTGTTTGATATTGCAAAGTTTTAAGTGATTAATAATGATTAACAGCAATAAGTTAGTTATTGATTAGTTGTTCTCACAATGCTCACCAGCAGCCAGGGTTTCTCTAACTTCAGACTCAGTGGAGGTCTGGTCAAATTATAGGATGTAATGTGTGGTTGACTTAAAACTCACCAAGCGTGTGTCTGTGTGTTGTAAATCTGCCCACCAACATCACAGGAAACCTCAGCAGCAAAATAATACGCTCTGTCAGGACTTTGTACCTGAGGAGCAGAACGATAAAGAGCATGCGTCGAAGATGGTAACATTATAGCGGATGTTTTATATCATTTTAAACTTGTTCCTGCAGACGCACACCTCTCCCTACGATTATTTCTTATTATTATTATTATGATTATTTCCAACCTAGGACTTCATCACTTTTTCTGTCCTGAGTAACTACATCATGTAGGTTGACAATGAAGACAGGAATTCTCTTAGGGCTCATTTTATTGGATAATACGCAGATGTAGCCTGGGGTTGATTTTGAACCCTGCGAGTGATAGTAGTAGGTTACTGTGTCGGGTCAAACATGTGCTGACTTGCCAGAAACAAAACACGTCAACTTGGAAGTTTGGAACACGATGGCTGTCAGGCAGGAATGATGGTAGTCTGGGAATTCCTTCCTGGTATGGCTTTAATTTTCCAACTGATTCCGTTGCCTCTGGGTGTAGAACTTACTTCCAGCTGTGCTGACAGGTTTTGTTTGTTAGGTTTGCTTCTCTTTTAGTGACAATTCCAAACTCAACTTACTGCCTGAAACTTTAAACTATTACTCCAGGAGAGAATAAGTTGTGATGAGGTGTAGATCAACATAATTGTGTTTTGTTTTTTTTGTTTTTTCAAAAATGAATCGAGCGGGCCAGTTTTGGCCCACGAGCCGTATGTTTGACACCCCTGTTCTGATCAAACATTTGAAATCACAGTATCAACAGTTTCTTTAAAATTATGTTTGGAGCTCTCACAGTGAACGGATAATTGTTGTTGTTTCATACAAATAAACATTTTTTGGTGTGTGATTTTTTTCTGACGTGCAGTGGAGAGTCTAAAAGAGGAAGAAATGATCCGCAGCGGTCTGACGTGCAGTGGAGAGTTTAAAAGAGGAAGAAATGATCCGCAGCGGCAGCAGAGAGAAGAAGAAGACTCTGTTGGGCGGATCAGGGTCAGGAGACCTGGACGATGTCACAGAGGCTCTACAGGGACTGCCAACAGTTCTGTATCCAACCCCCACCCTCGCTGCGTCTGCTGATACTATAGGTAATGTGATTGGTTTAGAGCAACTCTTCACGTCTGAGAATTTGCAGAATTTGGTTTGGACTGTATAGAATAGAAACGTATTTAAAACAAAAACAAGTGTTAGAAGTATTTGAATAAAGTACCTCACCCAGTACAAATACTGGTATCACTAACGGTGCATCCCTTGTCCTTATTGTTGTAACTGCTAAGTTTGTCGTTGTAAGGCTTACAAAAAGGTCAGACAGGAACCTGCCGCCATATAAAAACGACATGCGTACTGTAGTGTGTGTAAAGTGTGTTTATTCACCAAAGGGCTTTGGCACCAGTTCACACAGTAATGACAGACCAGCCACCATAGACATTTCCAGGAAGTTTGGGAGACCCAGTAAAAAGGACCCTGGTGGGCACATCATCAAACCCGACAGACCTCAGTGCCACCAAACCATAATTTCTCCTGCTCCCACAGTATGTTATTAGTTTAGACAGAATCTGCAGAGATCCTCTGCTCCTGCTCTGCCCTGAGTTTTGTAAGGGCATGCTTTTTGAAAATAACATCCTTGAGCTTGTCTTGTGGTCTGCTTCCCCTCACTTGATCATGGCCTGAGCTTGGTGATTTGAAAAAAAAATGCACTGAAACATCCGGGTCAGGACAGGTGATGTTAAGTTAAAATAAACCTTTAGTGTATCAACATACCACTTAGGTTCTGGTCTCAAGATAACCACATCAACTTAAAAAAAAATACCTGATCATAATGAGATTTAGTTTTGGAATGAATTCAAATATAAATATCAAGCAGTTTTACAGGAGATTTCCTTTCATGTACAATCTCATCTGGTCCTCTGCTTGTCTTGGAACTGGACCTTCAACCATGTGCTTAATGTTTTGTTTCTCCTCCAGAGCCTTCGCTAACAGGAAGTCCCTCCGAGCTCCCCGATGAGGCCTCGGAGAAAAAAGAGAAGAGGAAAAGAAAGAAAGAAAAAGAGCGGGATCGGTCAAAGGGGGAGAACAAAGAGGAGCAAGGAACAACACAGGGGAAACCGGTGGAGGACAAGTCACAGAAGACACCCTACCCAACACAACCAGTCACAGGTGTCGTCTACTCCCTGTTTTTAGTAGTCCCATTATACTATATAGGGGGCCTTGACTAATATTGGAGTTCTGTTCCTACTGTAGTACGTATCTCAATTTTCGCTTAATCGGAACTCACATACTGTACATCAGTATCTATGTCACTGCTGTACACTAACACAGTGGTGACATCATAATCTAGGACGGGGTGTCCACACTTTTTCGGCTTGGGAGCTACTTTTCAAATGACCGGGGTAAAGTGATCTACCTACATTGAAAACTATAAATATATATTTAACCAAAAACAACCCAAATTAAAAAACGCACAAACCAATGTATGGAGTACAACCAGCGAATGTAAACAAAGCCATCTTCCATGTATAGCACAATGTATTTGTTTATGGGAGATGGTAACCACGAAACGTCATCGGCTGAAGACACCTGTATACACAGTGGGAAAGACTTAATTTGCTAACTATCACTGATGTCATGAATGCCAGAACAAAACAACCTTTTCAATTCAACAACAAACGTCTGTGAATTACTAGTCTACTGCTAGCATCTAACCCCAAGATACATAAAACATTTACTACTGCTCTTTGAGTTGTCTTAAAAATGAGGAGTGAATTACATAAGGGGAACTCCAGTTCCTCTTCAAAAAAGGTTTGTCCAAGTGCGGGATAAATGTGTGTAAAGTAACAAGCCAGATTTTACAATGATTTGCAATACTGAAATTTAAATTTTATTTTCTTGAGTCTGTTTTTTATAGGTCACAGCTGTTTTTTCCTGTCAGTGAATCTGCATGTGCAAGGCTTTTTCCAGCACTGGCAGTACATGTGTGGTGCACACACCTTTAAAAAAAAAACAAAAAGCAGTGGCAGTAATTAAGCAGGAAGTGAAGCCTGTCTGACCATCAGACAGAGTTGGGAAACAAATGACTGGAGAGCAGTAAGTGTTGGTTTGAAATGTGTTGCGATGACAGTGTTTGCGCAGGGAGGGTCAGACGGAGGAGTGAGTAATGACAGGCCGCTCACTGAGCTGCAGGCCTCGTGGATCTCCGTTCTGTCTCAGGGTGATGGGATCAAACGCACACATTCACGTGCAGGAAAACTCCTGTCATGTTTATGGACGCGCTTTGTCAACACATCTGTTGCATCTGTGTCCAGGACCACCAGGTGTCCCGCTTTGTGCAGGACCGCGCAACACTTAGAACAGTACAGACAATGTGATTTGACTTTTATTGTGAGGAAAAGTTGGACAAACTATGCGCATGTGTCATTCACAGGTTAGCTAGCACACCTAGCACTGTGTTAGTCTACCCTCTTCCTCACAGAGAAAGTCCATGAGGGAAGCAAAAGAAAAGAGAGTGTAGCTTTAGTCGTTAGTTGGAAATGAAGGCTGTGGGTGTGTGCAAAGGACAGTGTATTGAAAAACAATCATGCTATAGCGATAATTATTTTCTTTTTTTTAAAGGGATGTCGCCGAGAAAACCTTATGAGTGTGACAGTGTTGCGGCGGCAGACATCATGCTGTTGGTGGACGGCTCCTGGAGCATCGGTCGCACCAACTTCAGACGCGTCAGAGACTTCCTGGAGGGTTTAGTGACACCCTTTAACATCGGGCCAGACTACATTCAGATTGGTCGGTAGTTAGTTAGCTACTTCCTTATCATACCAGGTTGATCTAGTTGGAATTGTAAAGATTCGGTTTGAAAGTCAAGATACAAACTTGAATTATTCCAGGACTAACTCAGTACAGTGGTGACCCTCGCACAGAGTGGAATCTCAATAACTTCACTGCGAAAGACCAAGTCCTGGAAGCGGTTAGGAATTTCCGATACAAGGGAGGAAACACGTTCACAGGTGAAGAGTTTCTGCACAATTTAACACACTTTCTCTATCGTCTTAACTCTACAAGTTAACCCTGTTTTTAATCCCGCCTTCATCTCCCAGGTCAGGCTTTGCTGCATGTGATGGAGGAGAACATGAATCCCCAGGCTGGAGCCAGGTTAGATACACCACAGTTCCTGGTCCTGCTGACTGATGGAAAATCTCAGGATGATGCCATTGGTGCAGCAAACAAGCTGAAGAATGCGGGTGTGGAGATCATTGCTGTAGGTGAGGCTGAACTCTGCTACAAGGTCAATCACAATTCACTTTGTTAGCTTGTCATGGGATTAGTCTGCGGATAAGCCAAATATCTGTGAATTAGGCAGTCAGCTCTGACATAGAGAGAAACATCGCCACCCGGGGGCCGGAGTTAAAATGTGTAACTAATTGGTGTTAGCATAAAGAGCGGTGGGTTTGCTGTTGTCAGCACCAGGTCATTTAATACCGTTTACTTAGGACAGGGTTTTAAAAGTGAGGGCTACTGCTCTGCTCCCTAAGCTAGTGTGTAGCTAGCTAGCACAAAATGGACAGGTTTTGGACAAGAAATAGATTGCTGTGTATTTTTATTAAAAAATATTAATAAATTAATTAAAAATATTTTATTTTTATTATTATTTATATTCAGTTGGAATATATAGAGCTGAAATTATGTTTGTTAATAATATACTTGTATGTATATAAAAAAAGTAAGAAAATACATTCTAAAAGCTGATGTTTCTTTACATAATTTGTAGCATTATCTGTGGGTTAGCAAAGGCTTATTTTGGCATGGAAAAAATTGGACACCCCCTGACTTTGGACACTAAAGGTGTGGCCCCTTTTAGTTTGAGTTGATTGCCTAAGACAGGTCAGATCAAAGTACAAAAGGTCGTGTCAAGGTGAGGTGAGGGGTCTGCAGCTGACTGTCATTAACTTTTATTACAGCCAATGTATTCGTTTCTTTTTTGTTTCTATCTGAGGAAATCAGTGTCTTATTGAAGCCAGTCAGCTGAATAAACCAGATCATCTACTTGGCCCTTCGTTGTTCATGAGCTCATGGGTTAGAGAATTTCAGGGTTGGCTTCCACTACAGAGGTACATAACAGCACAGGCACCGAAGCAGCAGAGGGAAAGTACAGTCAGCAATAGAGCTGGCTCAGCCAAATACCATTCTGAATACTATTAAACCAAAAACACATGCAAACAGTCAGCATTTTCTCTTAAACTGTCGGTTTTCAACCACCTATTAATACGGTTTAATGTGTGTTGTTTAATTCTATGATCACTTTTCCATGTTTGTTTTTTAACCTACGTGACCGTTGGTACTAAACTCCTGACCCGGGGGCCGCTTTGGGCCCACAAACCCTGAACAAACAGCCTGGAATTAGATGTCAATATTGATATAATATTGACATTGATTTATTAAAGTACTATTTAGGAATGTTGAAAAAAAAACATATTTCCACAATTTTATTCTACTGTGTTAATGTCATTGAACACAAACCACCTTTTTCTGAAATATAAGGATTTTTTGCATGCAACATGAAATACTGATTAGTTTTACGACAATGGCAGCAGTCATTTAGACCAGCAGCTTCCGTGTCTTGGCTCAACTTGTCTTTATAAACGTGTGTCAGGTGTGAAGAATGCTGATGAAGCCGAGTTGAGGCAAGTAGCGTCAGAGCCGGTGGACGCGAACGTCTACAACGTCAATGACTTCCACCTGCTCAGTAAACTGGTGACAAGACTGGTCCACATTCTGTGTCGGAGGATAGAAGACCGCGGCGTCACAAAAAGTAACCATTTCATTTTTCATTTTTTCACGTACCTGTATCCACGGTGTTGTTGTTGAGAACTTTGTTGACACTTTGGTGCTGTGCCTGCAGGGGTACAGCCAGCTCCCACAGAAGACCCAGTTCTCACCTACCCCAGTCCCACTGACCTGCGTTTCTCTGACCTGGGCTCCAGAGAAGTCAAGCTGCACTGGACCAATCCAACCAAAGCTGTTCAGCAGTACAGGGTTGTCTACCACAGTGCGGAGGGACAGAGACCACAGGAGGTGAGAACCACACACATAATGCCCATGCACCTATTATTATCACAAAAGGTCATCGTGTGATTGTGCGTGAAGGCCATAAATCTGTTCAGCTGCATATTTTGGATTTGGTTCATTTTTTTGTGTCCAGGTGGTGTTGACTGGTTCAGAGTCCACTGTACAGCTGGAAGGACTGTCCCCTCAAACCCTGTATCACGTCTCCATCTTCCCTGTCTTTGAAAGGGGAGTGGGTTTGGCACTGAGAGGAACTGTGACCACATGTGAGTCTGACATCTCCTGGACATTTTTGCTATAATTTATCCTAAATAAATCCCTGAGAGCTAAATGTTATATTATGTTGATCATGCCCTGTCATTTTTTTTCTCCCAGTGCCACTGAGCCCTGCCAACCTGGAGGTGACCCCTTCGTCTTTCAGCACACTGAGAGTCAGCTGGGATGCAGCTCCGGGTGCTACGCAGTACATGATCCTGTACTCGGCTCTCAGTCAAGGAGAACCTGACGATGCCAAAGAAGTAGGGACAAGACCCAGCTCAATGTACACCTGTCAGGCCCTGGATCACACGTGTCTAACGTGAAACTTAATTCCCGCAGGAGAAATTCAGCTCAGAGCAGACGGTGGTGGAGCTGACGGGACTGCTGCCAGAAACAGACTACTCTGTCACTCTGTACGCGCTCTATGACGAGGATCCGAGTGACCCCATCACTGCTGTTGCCACCACATGTAAGGCACACGCTCTCCTTTTTCTCCTTCATTCATTTTAACATTATTGTCTAGAACAGTGAACAGACTTGTGTTTTCTCACTGATGCCCTGTGTCGCTTGTTCTTCTCCAGGGTCTATCCCATCACCTGTAAGTATTCAGTTTCCAGTGGTCACACACAGTGCCCTCAGGGTCAGCTGGGTTCCTGGAGCCACAGATGTCCCTGCACACAGAATCATCTATAGCACCAATCATGGAAGTGATGTCAAGATGGTAATTTTGATGCGAAACATCAGTATTATTTTTCGGCCTTTTTTGAAGTTTTTTCTTTGAGATTCTACATTACTCTTAAAAGAATGCACGTTGTGCTTAAATAACTCTTAACTCTTTTTTTCTTTTTTTACTTTACAAACATTTTCTTAGATGGAGGTAACAGGACAGAACTCAGTGCTGGTCCAAAACCTCTCATCCTTGTCCAGATACCTGGTTTCAGTACAGTCTCACTACCCACAAGGCCTTTCTGCAGCAATCACCAGCAATGTTACCACATGTAAGATGGACACACTCATTTGTGACACTCAGTGTTCTGTTCCTAGGGAGGAAAAAGTATCAAAGCAGTCTCTTCTTTGTTCTTCTCCTCTTGCTTTCAGTGAAAGTGTCTCCACCCTCTGACCTGAGGGTGACTAATTTTTCTGGCAGTGTCATCACTGTGCGCTGGGAGGCTGCAGCCGATGACGTGGTGTCGTACCTCATCAAGTGGATCTCACTCAGTGGAGGAGACCTGCGGCAGGTAAGAAAGATCAGAGAAGAGAAAAGAGAAATCATGGTGTCCTCACATTGATACTGAAGATCAGCTGACCGAGTAGGGAAAAGAAAATACCATGAGCAAGTATGGTGTGGTGTACTAAATGGAGCAGCTTAGTGCTCTGTAAACACTCTAAATCAGACGTGGGCAAACTAAGGCCCGGGGGCTGGATGTGGCCCGTTCAGCTTTTTAATCCGGCCTGCCAAACTTTTCCGCTGGGCTTTGGCTCAGAGGCAATGTCTCTGTCATTGGTGTGGAACCCCAGGGTTCACCTCCTGGGCAAGTAGGGTTCACCTCCTGGGCGGTTGGTACCTTCCAGTGGACTCACCACCC